AAGCACAACAGTGGTTGCTTGGGTGTTAGATGTTAGATGGTGCTTGGGTGTGAAGGGGAGTTTGAAGAGTGGCAGAAGGAAGGAGTTAAAAGGACATAAGGAAACTTTTGCGGTGACGGATATGCATACTAGCTCGATTGTCACTTACACCTCAATAAAGTTTGTTGTTTTTTGTTTTAAAAGGAAGGGCAAAAGTATACTAGTGAACGCAAGCAAAGAAAAATATCAAACAAGGTAAAACATAGGCTAAAAAAAAGCACATTCGAAAATTTTGAAAGGATACATCATAATACGAGAGTAAAATTTGCAACAAAAATATAATTGTAAATAATTGCTTTTAATATCTCAGTATCAACATATCATTAGCATTCTTATAGTAAACACAGGAGATACAGAAAAGAAACAGAAAAACAAAACTGGAGATTTAAATTAATTATCTTCCATGATCCATCCTGTATTAACAACAAAAGGAAATAGAGAACACTCATCCCAGAGTATTCAGACAATGTGACCACAATTAGACCACTAAGAAAATTCAGGAAGTTATAAAAACCAGCAACAGTATAGACTTTAGTTTATGATCAAAACGCAATTGCACAAGAAATTAGTAACAAGCTCAGGAAATGAAAAGCCACTTACATGCAGAAATAAAAAAATTATTCAGTCAAAGAAGAAATACAAAGTAAAATGAAATAGTCATTTACAATGACAATGAGAACACTTAGAATTTCCAGAGCACAGTTGAAGTAGTGCTCAGAAGAAAATGCATAGTCTTAAGATACAGCAAAAAAAAAAAAGATTTTAAAAAATGATTTAAGTAACTAAGAAAGGTAGTAAAAGTCCACTATAAACTATACAATAACAGATTAGTAACATGATAAAGCATAAATTAATGCATTAGAAAACTGAAAAAAAAAATAGAATAAAATCCAAAATGCAGTGCTTTGTATAATGTATTCATATAATAGAATACTATGCAGCTATTAAAAAAAATAAATAAATAAGGAAGCTCTCTATGTACTGATATGGAAAGAGCTCCAAGATATATAGCTAAGTAGGCAAAAAACAAGATGCATACTTCCATTCATTGATGTAAAGAAAAGGTTGTGAGTGTGTGTGGAGGGGGGTGAGGTAACGGCAGAACTTACTTTTATTCAGGTTCTGTTAAATATAACCATTCTCTGGAAAGATCCATAAAATAATATTAGCAGTTAATCCTTTGGGAGGCATTAGGGGGAAATGGGCAGGTGGGGAACAAGGCTGGGAGACTTGACACTGTTATTACTGGGTTTGTTTTTTTTTAACTGTGTGAAAGTATTATTTATTCAAAAACAAAATCAGGTTTTTAACAACCTCTGCCAGAATGTATCTTTTAATTATTTCTTCTTAGTAGGCAATTTCAATCTTATTATCTAGATTTTTCCCAAATGCAGGAAAACATTATAAAATTTGCTTATTTACTGCATTACCTTAGATAGTCCTATCTCCCGGAACTTTTAGCTTTTTACTTATTTTGTACATTTTTCTGTCTTTTTATTCTCCATTCTAGGGGACTTCTTCTATGCTCTCCTTCAGCTCACTTAGTCTTTGACTATTTTCATCACATCACCGAATTTTCTATTAAATTTTGGCAAATATTTTGCCAAGAACTTTATTGTTTCCTCTTTGTACCAGACCAATCACGCTTTACAGATACTGCTGTTGTTGTTGTTGTTGTTATGTGCCGTCGAGTCGGACCCAACTCATAGAGACCCCTCCTTGGGTTTCCGAGGCAGTTATCACTATGGAAGTAGATTGCCCAACCTTCCTTCCGAGGAGTGGCTGGTGGATTTGAACTGCCAGCCTTCTGGTTAGCAGTCAAGTGCCTTGGGCACTGTGTGCTACCAGAGCTACAGATACTGGATATATCCTTTCTATGCTCTTTTCTCCTACGGTTTCTTCTCTTTGCTCACCTTGACCATTTCAATAGATTTTAAAGAGAGAAATAATTGTGCTTAGTCCTTATTATCTTGGACCAGAAATCTGATGCCTTTATTTATATAGGAAATTTGGTGCAATATCCACTATGGATATAAGTAGAACAACTCATTACATGTTGTAGACAATCTTGCCTTTCAGAGGCTTTTAAACTAGGCAAGTAAACTAGAAATACTTAAGCTTTTGCCATTTTGGGTAGTAATGTGATATAAAAAGCCCTGGGCCAAGAATTAGGAAGATAAGTTATTGGTGACTTCTTATTAT